ACGGTCCAAGCCGACGTTTGCTTAGAAACGCTAATCGAATGACGGTACGGGCCCTCCAGATCGAACCTGAGAATTACAGCTACAGTAAGAAGTACAGGTTCACTCGCCAGGCGATAGCCACCTGCCCTACATTACTGATAAACTGATAAGTATCCATATTGACGATTGATTATTAGACCCCGCCTTTGTAAATGCTAATCGAATGACGTCGCCGGCACGGACCGTCCGGACCGAACCTGATGAGTAGTGCTTTACTCGCTAAGTTGTAGCCACCTGTCGTACAATTCTGTTAAGTGTCCGTGCCAACGATTCATTTCTACGCTTCTTTGTAAATGCTAAACAAATGTCGTCAGCACGGTTCGTCCGAACTGAATCGAATAATTTGAGCACAGGTTTACTCACCAGGCGGTAGCCACCTGCAGAGTTAAGATCTGCACAATGCAGCACACCTTAATTAAACTACTTTACATATACGATTGAAACTTATTCCACAGATAGGATTCTGGTATGCAATTACTATAAAATATATGTTTTAGTCTAGCAGTTCAATACGCCATCTTAATTCCGAGGGTCGCGGGTTCTATCGCCTTAACACCGTACATTTCTTACAAGTGTACGGTTTGAACCGACGGTTCAAAATGCTAATAACGTCGGCACGGCTCGTCCGGACTGAACCTGACAAAGCAAGTACGTGTTACTCGGCAGACGGCAACCAACAGGCGAGTTTAGGTACGCACAATGTTGCTACCGTTACTAAAACGTATTTACGTATCAACGATTATTAGTAACCGGGCCTACACAAGGCTGTAAAGATCTATATTGCAGTCCTCACAGCTAACATGTTAGTAATATTACAAAACATGAGTCGACTTTTAAAATCCGCTTCAGCAATTAAAGTGTTAAATGAAATCAAAATATCAAATAATTATATCATGCTCAGCCAAACATATACAAATCATTTATACAACTATAAACCTATACTACATTATATTGTAATCACACATAACAGTATTGGTTTACAAATAATATAGGAAATAACACTTAAAACTATATACCGCTTATATTACAATTCTTAAATACCAACAGATCATTCGGTTTCTACTTAATTTTTACTATATATATAATAAATATGATGTGATAAACAGTTTTACATGTACAAATAAATAATGAGACACTATAAAACATTAATTTTTATTATTACTAATACTATATTCACTTATCTAATAAATTAAATCGTGTTAATGTAATAAAAGTGAATAGCGAAAATTAAATAGAAGATTTGCGTCTAAGTATGCGTTCAGATTATAGTATTATTCATTTTATACATAATCTATATTTACTACGTCATAGCGACGTATTACAACGCCCGTATCGATTCTCCTGAACGGGCGTTTCAACGCGATAGGTCTCAACGACCGGCCCGTATGCAACTACAAAAAGTGTACTTGTTACTCAATAGACAAGAGTAAAAATCGAATAACAACATCACTATTCCAAATTACACAACAGTAAATCAAATTACCCTGTTAAGAAGACATTGTATATCTTAAAAATTGTGTCGTCAGCCTTTTCCAATGATATCTTTTTGTTATTAATTTTTATTTTTCTGACAGGCGATAGAGTTCCGCAGAGATTCAGTGCGACGTGTATACATCAATAAATTATGAATAAATAAAACGCAGTCTTTACAACAAATACTGTTTCTTTAGTTTTTATAATAAATAAAATACACTAATCGGTGAACGAAACTTCACCGTATTCTTTTAGTTACCTTATGCAGACGACTATCGCTTGACATATAGTAAACACTAATTTGCTAAGGGTACTATGTTATACAGGGTCTTCGAAAGAAAGAAAAGAAGGCGAAAATAAAGGAATAAAAGATATCTACTAGCCAAGAGTATTAGTAGACGGAAATTGTGATGACTCATTTATTCTTAAGACTAGGGATTTTTAATGTATTAGTAATTAAAAATCAATAAAAGTGGATTTTCTTATAGATATAGGTATTTGTATAAATTACGCCTACACAGTAGGAAATTGAAACGAAATAATTAAATGTCGTAATATTTTGTCTTCTATTTCCTTTTAAGTGAACTAAATTAAATGCAAAAACGAAAATATTCCAATCAATAGTGGAGGATCAACTGAGAGTAATAATTCATTCGTATTAATTATTATATAATAATATTATGTAAAATCACTTACAACTATGCAATATACTTATTATTACGCAACGCTTTCAAATGAACATTTATATTGAAGCCATTAATTTTAATATTAATCCCTTTCGTATTATAATATATATATATACTTTCGATGGGCCTGAAGTGTACGTCGAAAGGGACAGAGGTACGACGACCCGTTTTATAATAGAAAGTTTTTAATAATACATACGGGAATTTTCCAATATACATACACTACGAATGGCACAGTCTGCCAATATTTCAGGCGAAGGTATTTCCAAAGTTTTATTTTCTACGTGTTTTCTTTAAATTCGGTATTTCACCGTGCAGCCAGCTTACATATATCAAAAATCTACATTAAATTATAATTAATCAATAGAATTTTTGGCATGTCTCGTGGTGGCACGACAGGGAGGCGATATGGGGCCGGTGCTCTCGACTGCAGTTTGAGATCTAACTTGAAATATGAGTACAATATGTTTAACAGCTAGCAAACCGGCGCCGTATGCCTTACGATATTTACACAAAGATTTTAGGGTCCGTTCACACTCAAATGACGATTTTATATATATGGCAACGTGAGAGATAAATCTGAAGCCGGACGTTTCCACGTTTATATTTCTGTCAATTAAAAAACTGTACTGTTTGTCTTGCTAATTATCAACTCTCAAACATACACACTGTTCTCACTCGCTGTTCTCTCAATACCCTTATGACGCCAGCTGTGTGCGCTAGAGACGACGTAATGCTTCCTTCTCTTTCCCACATATACAACAACAGTAACAACTGTAACCATTCGGACAAAACTGCTATATCAATCTCTGTCTTGATTAACAGATGATTAGAGCAAAATTGATACGAAAAATCATTATTTTCTATCTCTTTTCACCACTAATCCACGCGTTTAACTTGTATACATGTTATGAAAAGTCCCTCCTTAATTATAAAAACAACAATGGAATTTTAACAAGTGCAGTGTTGTGTCCCACTCTTACATATTAGAGAATAGTTCGAAAGGCAAAACAGTTCAATAAATAAGTTCATTACACTTTTGACGTCTTTCATTATCATCTGCTTCTTTCTTATCCCATTCATTTGGGTTTGGTGTAATATGTTTTTCTCTTCCATTCATCACTGTTCATATCTAGTTATTCATCTTTATAAGGAAGAAAAAATTTACATCATTAAGGGAAAACTATACTATTAGGTAATTTAAAACTTTACCCGCCATTTGAGTGTGACGCGGCCCTTAAGGGTGGGTCCACACTGACTGGAATTGACACGAACACATCCCCGCCCACGTTCCCAATACTAACAACATGTATTATGTAAGTTTACTTATTATGTACCCTAACACAATATACATTAGGGTGACAATTGAATGGACAGTTCAACGCATTAGAGCCACGATTTTGACAGCCGCGCGAAATACAACAATATTATACTGTCTTTATTCAGACCACCATTATTCTGAAGCGGGCACGGTGCAATTAGAAAGGGACAAAACATAAAATTACAAGTGAAACATGGTTATCTCTCTCATTGAACCGTACCCGCAGCTAAATAACGTCCGTATTATTGGGACATAAGATTCATTTTGGTTCGAACACAAATAATTCCAATATACTTTAAGACAGTAGTTTACGCTTTAGCGATATAACTTTCAGTGTGTGAGAGGAGTTGGCGATTAATACGAACATCTTCTGTCCTTGTTTATCTTATGAAACCTTATACAGTAGAATACAAACTAATTTGAATTAAAGATTTTGACAAAACGTCTATATTTTTTTCCATATAGAGTTTATTTTAAATTTACGAGCTATTGTTATCAATTCTATATCGAAAATATTTAAATTTTAAAAAGAGCAACACGCAAGTTTCTTTCTCGTTCTTCTTGTCATAAGTCTGCCTTCCGAATGAGCGTTAGAATAGAAAAATTATTATATACTATTCAAATGCTTATATTAAGTTTATTTGAATAAAGATTATTTCTATTTCAATTCCAATTATAAGCGACGAATAATCTTTATGGGATATTTTTCTAGGATAAAATAAAGTCGCTTTCGCTGCGTAGTTTAAAAGCTCTAAGGGAACCAGAGCTTAGAACTTTTAAACTACGCAGCGGATTTTAATGCAGTTTTTAGTAATAGATAGAGTGATTCAAGAGGAAGGTTTGTGTATATTACATGGACACCCGTTCGAAACTGGGGAGGGTAGGTTGACTGTAATACTTACTATTAAGCCAAATTCCTTCAAAATTTACGAAATTGTAGCTTTGTAAGATTTTTGTGTAATATCATAGGGCGCAAACGAGCTTACGGCACAGCTGATGGTAAATGACTACCACTGCCCGTAACTTACAGGTGAGTTGCTAGCATTTTAAGAAGAAATAGGATAGTTTTTTGAAGACTTCAATATCGTATTATTAGGACGAATATAGCACCCAACACTAAGATTTAAAAGCGTGGATTATAATTATAGAATAGATTTGTTTTTTCGGACTACTCTAATGCTGTTGGCCGCAGCCGGCCTTTACAGCTTCACCGGACGATAGGGGGCGAGTGCAGATGGGACTTCAAACCAAAGGAAGGACTTATGGAACGGCTGAAGGTCAACTCTCGCTTGACGGATACGACTTTAGTCTTAGCGTAGTTAGTTGGTACGAACCTCGGGTCGGGCCATCGTAATTTCGATTTATGTTTAAATGGGAAGTATGTAATTTAGTACCAATTATAATGTGTATTGAAAATATAAATCAGACAGAGTTACTTTCGTCATTATATATATCGATTGTATTTAGATATGGAAATAAATCACCAACTCCTCTCAATCGAGAACCAAACTGAAACAAAATTAGAAAAACTCATGCACCTTGCGAAATACCGAGAACCCTCTTCATTTCTTCGCCTTCACGGTGACGTAGGTGGGTTCCTCGCCGTCCGGGCGCGGCGGGCGCGGATGTGGGTGCGGCTGCGGATGCGGCGGATGTGAGGGATGCGGATGCGGATGCTGCAGCAGCAGCGGCAGCGGGCGGCGATCCTTGTGCACGGACGCGTATATCGGCGGCGGCGGAGGCTGAGCCGCGTCTCATGTTTGCAGCGCTGTATTTATCTCGCGATGGATCGTTGTCTGCAAACATGATATAAAAAATTATGATATACGCGCTCAAATTATGATATAAAAAAAAAAAACAAAACATAACCATTTCATCAAATAGATAATACATTTTAACGGCGACGGTGGTCTAGCGGTTTGGCACACCGTTTTACTTCCGATGGTCGCGGGTTTGATTCCTCGCACAGTGCAAACATTTGTATTCATTAATTTATATCGATCTGGGTATTGTCTATGTACATTAGGTATGTATTTACAAAAAAAATATCTAAGTATTTATATCAGTTGTCTAGTACCCATAACATAAGCTCTACTTATCTAGTCTAGATGGCGCTGTATTAATTGTCCAAGTTTATTTATTATATGTATTTACTAGCGACTAATAAAGTCGCTGTCGCTGTCTGTCCCTACATATGCTAAAATCTTTAAAACTACGCGACAGATCGACAAATTTCGAAGCGGTTTTTTTTAATAATCCTTTATAAAGATTTATTAAACTTCACACACACAAAGTCGACTGGTGAACAATATTAACAACTAAGTGAAGATATCTGACCAGTTCATCGAGCTGCCTCGCGAGCTGGTCATTCAGCGCGTGTATGACTTGCCGCTGCCCGTCCTGAGCCGCCAACGCCAGCTCCAACTGACTCTGAGCTAACTTCGCCTCAGCGTCCTGCAACACAAACACACAAACACACTAAGAAGTGATTGTTAATAATGTGGATTGATAACCCCATTGCATACCATGTCGGGTCGAAAGTGGAAACCATCGTGTTAAATTCCTGGTGAATTTGTCACGATGGGCTAACTGATTGATCTTATCATTGGTGCCCCGCCAGCGTAAACCGTTAGCGCAGGCGGGTGCACCATTCCATTATATATGGTGGGGGAAAAGGGGATTGTTAGTAATGTGGGAACTGATTGATCTCATTGCTAGCAATATATGGTATGTTCAGTTCAGGTTGACCTTCACGCGGTTTCCCCTGGAAACCATCGTGATTAATTCCTGATTATTTTAATCACTATGGGCTAACTGACCTGACCTCATGAGATGATGAAGAGGATGATAAGATGATTATCATCCTCCACTGGTGCCCTCCGCCAGCGAAAATCGTTAGCGCAGGCTGTTGCCCCATTCCATTATCATCCATAAAAAAAAATACTCATAGTATTAACATCGTGCATACAGCATAGCTGTATAGACTGTATGGTTGCGCTCCGTGCAATATTCTGCATCTGTGGCGTATTACGTTTGCGCGGGAAAAATAATTAACTACAAAATGGCTTCTTCTGCAGACATACTGATAAACTACTGTACTCCTGATTCCTAATTATTTTATACTAGATGTACCCACCGATTTTGACGGGACTTTTATTGGCAGGTAGCTGATGTAATAAGGAGTAACTTAGGCTACTTTTATTTTAGAAGAATAAAGTTATTTTCCACGCGGACGAAGTCGCGGGTGCAGATAGTCAGAAATTAAATTATACACATATTTCCATACCTGCTCGCTCTTTCTAGACTTTGTGATCTGCGCCAGCTCCTCATTCTTCTGCGCCAACTCAGCCTCCAGTTGAGCGACGCGCTGTCGCAGTTGTTCTACTTCGTTGGCATCCCCACCTGAAACAATAACGTACACTTTATACAGTCACTAGCTACTCGCCCCGGCTTCGTCCGGGTGTACATGTACTATATAAATAAACCTTCCTAAAGAATCTATTTAAAAAAACCGCTTCAAAATCAGTTTTTTTAAAGCAGTCTTAAATATCCATAGTTTTAAAGATTTCCGCTTACATAGGGACAGACAGCGACAGCGACTTTATTTTATACTATGTAATGATTAGCGCGAGTACATCTGCCTCAACTATTTCCACTGTCAGTATCTTGCTTTCTAATATATGTATATATATAAAGCTTTGCTATTGTCAAAGTACCTACTAATACAATATGTGCACGACGCGCCTTCTTAAACTTTTGTATTGAATCTTAAATATATATAACTCAAAAGTGTCCGCATTTTCGCTTGCGTTAATTTATCACCTTAGGGGTGGAATTTATCAAATACCTTTCTTAGAAGATGCCTACGTCATTGTAGCTTTAGGAATGCAAAGTCTCAGCCCGATCGGTTTAAAATTGACAAAGTTTCATACAAGCTTTCATCCCCTATTTTATCCCCTTGGGGTAGAATTAATCAAAATCCTTTCTTAGCGGATGCCTACGTCATAACATCTACCTGCATGCCAAATTTCAGCCCGATCCGTCCAGTGGTTTGGGCTGTGCGTTAATAGATCACTATGTCAGTCACCTTTTGAGTTATATCTATTTAGATTTCGCCTAATTTACATATCTTTTTAAACTATAGTCACAAAAACTACTGATGCTAGCTACCTTACTGTAAAGTTTCATCAAAATCCGTTCAGTAGTTTTTGCGTGAGAGTAACAAACATCCATCCATACTATTTATATCCACGTTCATAATATTAGTAAGATTAGACAGCTGCCCTGTCTCAAATTGCGAGATCAAGCCATGTATTACTAATGCTACGTTTACATTCAGCCGCTTCCCCTGCCACTCGCGCTGCCGGAAATATTGCCGGGCGACAACTGAGCGAGAGGACTAAATGGAAAAACACGCTGCCACTCGCGCTGCCAGTCCTTTGACTCGCGCACGAATAACCGACAATCGAGGGAGCGCCGGGCAGCGCGAGTGGCAGCGCCAATGGCATGGGAAGTGTTTCCACTCGTGTTTCCACTCTCGCGCTGCTCACTTCCCACTCGGGCTGACTGTAAATCGGGTATAAGATGACAGCCTTAGTGATTATTATTATTACTATTTATATTACAATAGTTATCCAAAAAGTTTTAGTAGAAATTTTTACTCTTAAAACCTCGAAGTCTCCTGCCTGAATCATGGAGCCGAATTAGCATTCTACCATCATTTTACCACGACCCTGGTAGCTTGTAGAATTACAGGCTACCTGATCTGGTAAATGGTTTGCGTCCTGCAGAATCCACGTTGTGTCTAGCCAGCTCTTAATTAAGAACTATTAAAAAGTTATTAAACTTAATAAATGAATTACGACCCTTTGTTCATACCGTCTATTAAAAACTTACAGCATTTATAAATTAATTACGAATTTTATGACCCTTGTTGTGAGTGAGCGACAGCGAGAGCGGCAGCGCCAATAGCATGGGAAGTGTCTCCACTCTTGCGCTGCTCACTTCCCTTCCCACTCGGGCTGAGTGTAAATTGGGCATAACATTTTTGACGTACGTACCTTTTCCAGCGTAGTGTCTTGCGCGAGCCACCTCCTCCCTGTACTGGTGGAGCTGACGCTTCCACTCGTCCACGTTGGCGGTACTCTCCTGCAGGGCGGCAGTCAACCGGAGGTTGTTGCTCTTCAGAGTGGCCAGTTCCACTTCCCATTTCTTCGCATTAGCAGAGCTGAGGACAATCATCAATGGAATATTTACAAGTGTTTATTGACTGCCGTTTCGGTGTCTAGCGGTGTAGAGCACCGGATTCGATTCCTCCATACAAATTGCATTTTTTATGTATTGTTCATTCATAAGTAAATAATAAAAAATATTTAAATAATGAATATAAATACATAAATCTGGAGAATTACACAGCGTCATCTAGTCTCAAGCTAATCTGATATGGATACTAGACAACTGTATACATACATAGATATAGATATATTTTTTATTGTAAATACATACATAATATACATGGAAAACACCCAGACCAATACAAACAATCATATTCTTGAATAAAAATCTTTGATTCGTGCGAGGAATTGCACCTGCGACCATTAGAAGGTGGTATGCTAAACTGCTGGACCACCGAGGTCGTCAGACATAAAAAAGAAATTTGACGATTGAACCAGAAAACTCTGACCCAGTAACAAAACGACCAACATCGAGAGTAACACCTACTTTTGGCAATTTCGCAAACTGTTCTCAACGCTTCACGGTGCATAATACTTTATTGCAGGCGATAGCGTGCACTATATGTAAGTCATATAAACATGAATATGCAATACAAATAAATTGTATCGACGATTATATAACATATTATAAAACAAAGTCGTTATCGTTGTCTGTCCGTCCCTATGTATGCTTAAATCTTTAAAACTACGCAAGAGATTTTGAAGCGGTTTTATTATAGATAGAGTGATTCAAGAGGAAGGTTTATATGTATAATACATGTACACCCGGGCGAAGCTGGGAAAATCTATACCTATAAATTAAAAATTGGAGTGATATTTCAACAAAAAAAATATTATTTCAATATTACAAACAGATTGTAATATTGAAATAATCATATTTTACTACATGCATATGAATATTAATGTGGTACATACACCAAAATAACATTTTTTACAATTTTTCTCTGTCTGTCTGTTTGTTCCGGCTAATCTCTGAAATGGTTGGACCGATTTTCACGGGACTTTTATTGGCAGGTAGCTGATGTAATAAGGAGTATTTTTTTTTTTTTTTTTAATATAATAAAAAATAAGGAGTAACTTAGGCTAGTTTTATTTTAGAAAAATAAAGTTAAATTCCACGCGGACGAAGTCACAGGAACAGCTAGTAAATATTAATTAGTGCGAAAAAATGGTTGTAAGAGGTCGAAAGCGAAAATGAAAGGTTGTATAAAGTATCGTCAGTTTTAAGCAGAACGTTCAAACTTTTCGGGTTATAATCTAATAAATATATTTGGTCGAGGTCACTATTGCACGCGCACGAAGTCGCGGGTACAGATAGTTATATATTATAATCATAATAATACTCCTGGATAATTCACACAACGCTATCACTCACAGTAAGCAGAATTTGTCTTACGCAAAACTAGACATCTGATATAAATACTTAGATATACTTTTTACAGACCAATTCAGAATAGAATAGAATAGAATAGAAAATCATTTATTCAAATAATCATACTCATAAATACAATTGTCTGTAACATGCAAGTGTCGAATCTGATCATTGACTCTATTACTAGAACTGTACCATGTCAGGTTGACCTCCACGCAGTCTATGGAAACCAGCGTGATAAATTCCTGATGAATTTACCACAATGGCCTAACTGACCAGACCTCATATTCAACTTATCGTCCTCCACTGATGCCCCGTCAGCGTTAACCGTTAGTGCAGACGGGTGCACCATTCCATTATCATCCATAAAAAAAAATAACCCTGGACAATTAACACAGCGCCATCTAGGACAATTGTGTTACACAGCTTAGGTATAATTTTTTTGTTACATATGAATGTATCTGGTTATAAATAAATATCCCTAGGCAACTAACACAGTCCATCTACGGTAAGCAGAGCTTGTGTTATGGGTACTAGACAACTGATATAAATACTTAGGTATAATTTTTTTGTTACATATGAATGTATCTGGTTATAAATAAATATCCCTAGGCAACTAACACAGCGCCATCTAGTCCCACGGTAAGCAGAGCTTGTGTTATGAGTACTAGACAACTGATATAAATACTTAAGATATTAATTTTTTTGTTACATATGAATGTATCTGGTTATAAATAAATATCCATAGTTAACACAGCGCCATCTAGTTAAAATAAATCAACTGATACTTAAAGATATATATTTTTTGTTATCATCGTTAAAATAAATCACAACGATTTATTTCATCCATTAAAAACTCCATTATAGATCCGCTGCGAGCCGCCGAGCGGGCGCAGTTTGAATGTTTTCTGAATTTGCTCTTTTGTCCTATAATATATTATACATAGAAAGATTAGTATGTAACATGACCATCAGAAGTAAGACATACGCTAATCCGAGCACCGGGTCCATAACAAACTATATAATACAAGAATTTACAAGTCAATCATCCCATGAATATATATATATCCACATATACACAAACGGGGATCGATATTACGACGGCCTGAGCCGAGGTTCGAACCCCTACTGGTGCCCTCAGTCTAAATTTTATCCATCAGGCGAGAGTTAGCCATCAGCCGCTCCGTAAGTCCTTCCTTTGGTTTGGAGTGCCATCTGCACTCGACCCCTAACGTCCGGTGAAGCTGTAAAGGCCAGCTGCGGCCAACAACATTAGAGTAGTCCGAAAAAAAAAACATATATGTTGAGTGCACGCGCCGCAAATGATTTCAAATTGATCTCACGCGAGATGGTCACGCATCTCTTGTCTTACGTTTATATTACACAATTGTTAGCTGTATGAAAATGTACCGATATAATTCTATTTTGACATGGTTTCTAGTGCCACAGATAACGTTTGAGGTAGTCTAGCGGGTTAGTACACCGTCTTACTTCTGATGGTCATATTATCATATTACATACAATGTATAATACATGTATAATATTACAGAAAAGCAAACAAAAAGCGATCGGGATCGCTTAATGGGGTTAATAATGGGGTTTTTAATGGAAGATATTGGAAACGTGGAGGACGATAAGATAAGCGTGACATCAGGTCAATTAGTTTCAGGAGAAACACGTGGAAATCTGACATATATTACTAGTAATAGAATAAAAAATTCTTTATTCAAATAAACTTATCTGTAAGCCCTTTAAAATAGACATTTTTTGTTTTTATCTACCCCTGTACCGACACAATTCTAGTTTGACATGGTTTCTAGTGCCACAGATAACGTTTGAGGTATATATATTAACGCTGGGGCACCAGTGGAGGACGATAAGATGAGTATGAGGTCAGGTCAATTAATTCCAGGGGGACCACGTGGAGACCTGAAATAAACTTATCTTAGAGCACTTTTGAATAGAATTTTTTTGTTTTTATCTACCACTCATTCAAATGTTGTCACATCACAATAACAATGAGCCAGAGTGTTGCTGTTTTAATTGTTTTAACTTTATATTTTTAACTAGCTCACCAGGAAACTCCGTTCCGCCTCAGAATAAATTTCTGAACGCATAGGGTGCGTTCAGAAATTTATTCTTAACAGTTTGTATGCGATATTTGTTGTTTTTACTATTCTCCATGCAATTTCTTCATATTTCATAAATCTTCCCTGGATAATATATCAAGATTAAAATTAGCCAACCCGGTTCAACCGTTCTCGAGTTTTAGCGAGACTAACAAACAGCAATTCAATTTTATACATATAGATTTGAAATGTGTGAATACAAACTACCAATTAACTAGCAGTATTTCATTAAAAGTAAATCACTAATAGTACAAAATTAATTTTTTTTTTTTATTTCTATTAAACAGGGTTATTTTAAATTTAAATTTTTAATTGTAAGGTAAAATCCATAGCACTGACAACATTATCTGATTACACTAATAATGAGTGCGTATAAATATAATTTGTTATACTGTAATTATTATATAAAAAAACATCAAATTTTTAGCTCATTCTTCTTGTTATGAATCTATTAATGAGTAGAATCAAAATATGACATTCAAAAGTGAATAATTTGAATAAAGATTATTTCTATTTCTATATAATTTAATCAATATTATTGATCACCCATTGGTCGAAATTCGACAACAATAAATTTAAATTGTGAGATTATTATTAGTTCATTTGAATAAAGATTATTTCTATTTCTATATAATTTAATCAATATTATTGATCACCCATTGTGAGATAAATATTAGATTATTATTAGTTCATTTGAATAAAGATTATTTCTATTTCTATTTCTATTTCTAAGCATCCTCTTCCTTCCCCACCTAACATTTTATTAGCAACATAGTAAAACAGTTGCATAAGTGCATTATCCATGCACGCGGGTACAGATAATATAATTGCATATTTATCTATGGCTCAAGTCTGTAACTATAATGATATCGTGATTGATGGCGGCCATTTGTATTTTCCGGACGCTTTTATAACTAGCGTGAAGATCAAATGATTTCCCAGTGTTGCTACACTACGCGTATGCCGATTTACGTAAATATGGACCGTGCAAGTTTTATTTTAAACTAGCTACTTGCCTCGGCTTTGCACGGGTGTACATGTATTACACATATAAACCTTCCTCTTGAATCATTATCTATTAAAAAAACCAGCTTCAAAATCCGTTGCGTAGTTTTAAAGATTTAAGCGTACATAGGGACAGACAGCGACAGCGACTTTGTTTTATACTATTTATGGAATTACCCTTAAATAAATTAAAAACATCTGTTAAATCATATTTACTGAGCAAAGCCTATTACTCACTAAACGATTACTTGAATGACGAGCATAGCAATAGTTGTTCATGCACGGGATTTTCTTTAATATAATATTAGACATAATAATAATAATAATAATAATAATAATCGTCACACAGCGCCAAAACCAGCAATAGCTGAGAAAAAATAAAGAATAATAATAATAATAATAATAATCTCAAGACAATTCACACAGCGCCATCTAGACCTAAGTGATACAAATACATAGATATTTTTTTTTTGTAAATACATATATA